GGGGGTGGATCCTGGGGAAGGTGAGGTTTGGAGAGGGGAGAGATCTCAGTAGGATATAATACCATACAGCCCATCTTCCAAAGCAGCTATTTTCTCAAGTGGAAATGAAGAAATAGATTGACCTTGCTGGTGCCTCTTTCTGCTATAACTTAGAGGTTTGGACGATAAACGTGGGCGAACAATTTCCATTGTTTCTTTAAAAGACTTGCCTGCAGGCTTCTCTGGAAAAATCAAATTGTCCGCAAGACTTTACATTTTTCCTCCCTTAATACTCAGCAGTGCTGCTATGTGTTTTTCTGGGGGAACTGTTTTTTCTCTCACTGGCTGCCAGAGCAGTCACAGGAAATGGGAGCTGCAGGCAAGGGATGTACCACTACCTGATAGCCCTGTGCTCTAGCCTTTTTGTATATGTAAGCCAATTTTCCACAGCATTATCAAAGGCCTCTATTTGTCCAGTATAGCCTCTACTTGTCCAGTATAGCCTCTATTTGTCCAGTATAGTTTCACAGTGCCAGAATTCTGTACCACAAAATCTTCTTGAATCCCACTTTTGTTGCCAATTGTAGGATATTTGCTGTTAATCATGTTACTCAGTAAGAGTCACCGAAGGGTGAGTTCATGATGAAGCATATTTTATTCAGTAACTGTCCCGGTTCCCTCCGGGACTCTTGCTGGGCCGAACAGGAGATGGGGACCCACAGGCAAATGCTCCCCATGCCAGGTGGCCCTCCCCACCCTTCACTCACCGGCAGCTGTGACGACTCAGGGAGGCCCGGGAAGACAGCAGCGAGGCAGCGGCAGAGTGGCCGGTGGAGGAGATACCCAACGCGAGAGGAGGCCCAAGCCTGTGGCACCAGGGAGGAGTGCCCGGGCTGTTGCAGCATGATAGTGGGGGCTGAGGGTGGGCTCAGGCCCAAGGACATTGGGAGGGTGGCAGCTGGCCCGGGCAGTGGAGAGTCACAGCCAGCAGGCGGTCGGGGGAGAGAAACACCGAGGAACTCTGGTGTGGACCCAGCAGCACGCCCAGCGTGCGTGCCAGCAGGGGCAGGGCCAGACAAGGGCGGAGCCACGTCCTACCCTTTGTAGGGGGACAGAGCCAGCAGGCGGGGGGTGGCTTGGGAGCGGAGGGGAGGATAAAAGGACTATACAGAAATGCAAACATAGGTTCATATCGTAACACATGAGAGTACAATAAAGAAAGAGAGAGAGTGCAGAGCATGGAACCTGAGGGGCAGGGAGGTAAAGTAACCTCCCCCAAGGATTCCTGGGCCAAAGCCCCTTTCTTTCCTGCCCCTTTCGGGCCCCCTCTGTCCTCCCGCGCCTCTCCGGTGACCTGGAGACATGCCTAAAGGATCTTCCCACCCAACCCAGTGGCTTAGGGGACAGAGGAGTCATGGCGGCGCAATGGCGACAGGGGGAGACTGTGGGAGTCCCGAAGAGCTGTGACAGTAACAAACAGAGGAAGTAAAACCAGTAGATACAACAGGAGATTCAACATAACCAGCTACTAAGGGAAACATAACTGTGGATTCAGACATATTCAAATATATAACAGATAATGCTAAGCCTATGAGCATTAAAGGTGTAAATGGATTCATACTATTTGGCATCTGAAAAATGTGTGAATTTATGGGAAGCTTCAAGTCCTACTGGATATGCAAAATGACATGGGATTTTGAAAAAGGTATTATAGTAGGCCTGGTTGGAATTTAGAAACTCTAGTGGTTCTGGGAAGAGTTTCCAGTGGTCATACATGAAATTTAGTGACATAAAACTTTATCTTTCATTGGTATTATGCATAACACTTCTGTTTCTTGCTCAGTTATCTCCAGTAACCAAGCTGCATTGTTTGTGGTTTCTTCTTTCCACTCTGATCCTTTCTTTTTGAAGAGTTAAATTTATTATTCTACCCCAAAGTTACTAATTACACTTGGGCAGAATAAGTACATGTGCCAGTTTTTATCTTTCTCATGGGAGAATTCACTTCCTTTGTCACAAAACAAAAATATTTTTATTAGCAAGCAGAATCATTTATATTGCCTACTTTTATACCTTCCTTCATCTGTCATCCTCCTTAAAGTCCTTGTTGTTCATATCAATACACAATATGTATTAACTGCATGACAGAGTCAATAAAAACCTGATGGAACGTCTTGAGGAAGTTTATTTGTTGTTTTGAGTGTGGATTTTCAAAAACCAGGTTCTTTGTATATGTGCAGAATGAGATCCACTTTTTCTGTTTGAATAATATGGCAAATTTCTTGATGCAGTGTATTTCATGGTTGGTAAATATATCAAGCAAAAAGAGGATTATTTCTGTCATTTGAATTTTTTTCAAAGCATGGACTCCATTACTGAGGTTTGGTTCTCTTTTCTAGCTGGAACATGATATGTAGGAGGTTAAGGTACATTACTGTGATATGCTACAAATATACTACAGCCCTACAAGGAACACAAAGATGTATAAGAACCCAGTTTCCTTAGCTTGTGAAAGAGGGAACCAAATTCTTCCTGCCAAAAGATCTTCTGCTTTCATCAAACTGTACGGGGCTTTTCTGTATCTCCCTCCTTCCCTTTAATTTCAGTCCAATTTTGTTAGAATTCAGATGAGAATTTGCCCATGCTGAACCCAACAATATATGGAGACTAATACTCAGTGTTGTGTAGTAGTTGGAGTGTCAGACTAAGATCTGGGAATCCCTACTCTGCCATAGAAGCTTTCTGGGTAACCTTGGGCCAGTTACATACTTTCAGCCTAACCTACCTCACAGGGTTGTTGTACAGATTAGATGGATGAGAGGAGAAGGTTGTAAGCCACTTTGGGTCCCATTAGGGTTACCAACCTTCTGGTAGCACCTGGAGATCTCCTGCTATTACAGTTGATCTCCAGATTACCAAGATCAGTTGCCCTGGAAAAATGGCTGCCTTGAAGGGTGGATTCTATGGCATTATACTCTGCTGAATCCCTCCCCAAGTTCCACTCCCCCGAAATCTCCATGTATTTCTCAACCTAGTGCTGACAACTCTAGTCCCTGTTGGGGAGCAAAGTAAATAGATGAGGTAGATAAATGAAGTATATAAATAGAATCATAGATTTGGAGGGGGCCATACAGGCCATCTACTTCAACCATCTGTCAATGGATCAGCCTAAATTATACCCTAGTAAGGTATCTTTTTTATTTAGCAAGAGAGGAGGGTACACATGATTGCACAGTCTTGGGATCTCATTTAGTACCTCTTTTACTTTACGCTGATGACGCTACTGTTCTTTCTTACACTAGAATTGGTCTTCTAAGATATTTACAAGCTTTTCATAAGTTTTGTGAAGATAATGCACTAAATATCAATTATTCAAAATCCAAAGTATTAGTTTTTTCGAAAAATTGGAAACTTAAAAAATGGACAATAGGTAATACTGAAATTGCCCAAGTTAAAAAAATCTTCAAATATTTAGGAATCTCATTCAATATAACTTAAATTGAACAGCACATAGAGCTCGAATTACATTGGTAGCTAAGCGACCTCCCTCCCTCCTTAAGCAATTCATTTTTACCAAAGGGAACCAATATATTCCATCAGCAATAAAAATCTTTGAAGCCAAAATTTTATCACAGTTATTATATTGGTGCCCAGTTTAGATAAGGGTGTTTAACAATGAAGTTGAAAGTATCCAAGCAAATCTCTTTTTGCAACTCCTAGGTGTACCTTATTCGGCACTATGCATTGAATTGGGCCAACATCTTACAGATATGAAAACCTGGTTAGCTACCTTTAAATTTTGGTTCAAAATATATTTCAGAGCTTCAACAAATTTATTTCATGATTAAAAAACAACCCACACAATGTTAATTGGTTTTCAGGCATTGAAAAGAAAATTCACCAATTAGATTTTTCTGCTGTTTATTTCCTTTTGTTGAATGAAACCGCTATCTTCTGAACAATTAAACAAAGATTGTTTGATTTAGAAATTCGAAAACTGTGCCGATTACATCCTCATTCTTCATCTCAGGCTTTTTTGCATCTTGTAATACAACATAACCAAATGGCTAAGTACCTTCACAATCTTGACGTTCCTTCACACAGTAGAACATTTACTCTAGCTCGATTAAACGTCCTTCCCTCAAATATGCTATTAGGCAGATTAGGCAAAAAAAAAATATCCCGTTTCATGAAAGGGATTTCCTTAAAATCTCTTGACTCAATTCAACATATCATTCTAGATTGTCAATGTCATACAGCCATTTGTAAGGCTCTTTTACTGCTGTCATTGATCTTTAATTCTAATGTTAATAAATATAGAATTATCCAATATTTCTTAAATAACACCAACCCTGAAATTACAGCTTTGGTCGCTAAGTTTCTAGCTGAAGTGATTAAAATCAGATACTGGTTTTTAAACTGAATTATATGTATTTTAATTGCTGATTATAATATTTTAGTTTGTTGGAATTGTTACTATATGTATTTTACTGTTCTCATTATGCCATTAAAGTTGACTGTACTGAACTGAACTGATTGCACAGTCCACTTATGAACCTAGTTAAACATAATTAAGACATTTTCAGGTGCGTAGCTTTGTTGGTCTGCAGCAGAAGGGCAAGATTTGAGTCTAGCAGCATCTTTAAGATCAACAAGTTTTCCAGGGTATAGTTATGACATAGTTAAGACATTGAATCTTTGTTATGTTTCAATAATGCTTTAAGCTAGGCTCTGGAAAAGGGTGTAGATCTCTAGACTGGCTTGACATGATCAGTCACTCTTCCTGAGTTTTCCTCCTTCGGATTTCTTGGCACCTGGTTTTATGAAAGAAGCCTAGACTAACTTGATCAATTTAAAAAAATGACCTTTTCCAATCATAAAGGATGCCTATTCAGATTTTCTGTGGGAAATATGTATTCCTAAAATGTTTTCCTCTTCTTCCTCTTCTCCAGTCAAAATCAATATTGCCAATTAGCAAGACTGAGAAATACTTTTTAACATTTATTATTTTCCTTTTCTAGATGAACACAACGATGTACAAAAGAAAACTTTCACAAAATGGATAAATTCTCGCTTTTCTAAGGTAAGTATGTCTTGAAAACAGGAAGACAGTTACCTTGGATTAGAAAATGTAGCCTTATACATCAGAAATCTCTGTGTTAACTAGTGTACAGTGTAAATAAAGCTGTATGTGACCCTTCAAAATATTCATTCTTTTTCCTGAACCAAAGAGATTTTGCATTCAACAGCAGACAATATAGTTGAGCTAATGCCCATATAAAAAAGAATTTGTGACACATGATGAAATTCATTTATTCAGTTCATTCAGTCATTCATTCAATTTCAGCTTGGTGCTTATTGGTATTTGGAGAACTTGATCTTGTCATAATATGGTAAAAGTCTGCTTACAATATCCTGAATGCATTAAAATGGATTTTGTTGACTGCCCTCACAGAGCAGCTTGATGAAACATTCAGGGAACTTCCATGCTGACCAAGCAAAACTACTAGTTCTTGTAAGCTTATGTTGTTCTAGCTTGCTGTATAGATCTATTTCCTGTTCTACCACTTGTCCCCATACTAAAATTTATTGGCTGTATTTCTCAAGTACGAAAAAAGTGGCAGATATTTTAATCCCATTACATTACTAAACAGGGAATGTTGCTTATAGATTCAGTTATTTTGCTATATTTTAATTATGTTCAGCACACAAGCAGAAAAAATAAACATATCAAGTTGAGTATAATCGTGATCGTAAGACTGCGTGCAACCTGTAGTTTGGCTCTTAGGATTCTGCAAAGGATTCTACATTAAAAGGATTCTAGAAACATGTACACACACTGTTTTCCTGCTACAAATCACCCCCTCTAGCGAGCTGCTTGGCCTAGAACTAATCTCTCATCTGTTCTCTCCATGAGACTACAGCCCTGGCAAATAACAAAATGCCTAGCCTTGCAAAAGATATCTCCCCCCCCCCCCCGTTGCATATCTTGGAAAAGTGAAGTGTCCACCTAGGCTCAGGGCCATGTCATGTGCAGGAAATTTGCTGGATGTCCAATGCTTGCACAAGTGTACATAGTCCTGTCTGTTCTGCAGTAGTTACTAATGGTGCAATATGTGGTGCCAAAGAAGTGAATAAGACTGGCCATAGCATTTCCCTTGGGTGGGGGTTAAGAGATCAAATATAGTTTTGGCTTGGGGAATAGCTGATCCTTTCTGTCAGGTTAGAATAGCCTGTAGCACCATGTTAAAACCTCTAGTAATACTGTACAATGAAACTGGAGTTGTTGCAGCTTAGATGCAAGGGATGACTAATCTACTTCCAGTGATGCATATACTGGTTTAGGTGAAGTAATCCACATTGATCTAGTGGTTTTATATGTGAGATATCATGGTGAGACAGAGAGGATCATGTGTTATTCCTTCATAAGGTTCTGCCAGAATAGGATTTTAGATGATAAAATGTCTTCAGCAAAATACGGTTTCCATGGTATAAAATTTAATACCCAGGAGTCAATGCTGGGATCATTAGGACTTTGATAGTCGAGAAATATCCACAAGTGAGTCAGAGTATGGATTTATGGTGCTTTTGTTAAGTGACATGTAAACTTATGGATCTGAAATCACAAGGGCTTTGTTAAAGTGCTATTGTTTATCCAGTGGACATTTTAATTGCTTTTGAATATTAACCATAAGGTCACTGCATGCCTTTTGAATGTGTATGCTGAAGGAAAATAGGTTTGTGTTACAACATATATAAAAATGCAATGTGCAGGAAAATTGAGAACATCATTATTTGATAGTCTTATTATAATAGCACAAGACACTTCACAAGTGGTTTGCACTTCACTGGGCATGCATTTGAAATGCTTGAGTTCCATAAAACTATTACTACTTTGTACCATTGAATATACTGAGAACGGCTTTTGCACTTTAATTTTGCTGCCTTTCCATACATAATGTTCTGTAAAAAGGAAATATAATTTAAAGTAGTTGTTACTGTAATGTCAGGTAATTTTGCGTCATATAGAGATATAGAAAGAACCTCCGTTCATCCAGAAACAGCAACAGCAAGGCCTAGATAGTTGGTGCTGTTTTACTGCAGAAAACAAAACCTCTTTAACAGCATACAAAATTTAATAAAGTTGTCTAAGTACAGAATAAAAAATTGAAGGTCTGAATTCTGTCACAGAAGCTACAATGAAACATTGGAGTTATGAACGCTTACCTAACATTGAGATATGCCTTTTATATATGTATTGCTTTATGAAGAACTAGCCTGGTGCCCATGCTTCACTACGGTATTTAAGTTCCGTAAATCCACTTATAATACTGATTATGTGAAATTTGAAATGTCACATTTGTTGGAGGAATTCTAACAGAGAAGATTGTAGTGTAAGAAATGAAGTGAGACATATGTACTTTTTTTCTGTACTGAAGGACCTCTCTCTAGACCACATTGATGGTTCTTCCCTCAGGTGCTAGGATCACCGGGCTGCTTGATGAGATCACTCTGGAGCAGGCCACATAGAACTGTCCATTTAAGAAGCAGTTGTCTGTTAAGTCAACTCCTGCTACCTTCCACGAAAGTGATGGCCTCTCTACTTGTGTTCCTGGATTGTTTTGCTCATATGGAGACTGTGTTGATCTGAGCACCTCAGGGTGATCTCGCTGGTACTTGGCCTGTGCAACTCAGTGCACTGCAGGAGTAGTATGTGCAAATGTCTTTGCTGCATTCCTAAGTTGTCTCCTCTTTGTAGCATTGGTGTTTCTGGCTTGACGTTTTCCAGGAGTTTTCTTGGGGGCAGTAAGAGGTGAGAGGTGTGAGGGGGAGGCCTGTTAGGTGTAGGAGGTGGGGGAAGTGTGTTGGAAGCCATCAGAGAGGCTGGGCCAGCAGCTTTGCTTTACCTCACAGGTGGTTGTTGGCCATTCCTGATTTCCTCAACTGTCATTAGCTCTGTGCAGTCCCCTGTAACTGTTGGGTTCCCCCCCTCAGAACACTGAGCTCTGCAGCTGACCAATCAGAGAGTGGGGGGTGTAGAGAGGCAGCCACATAGGAATCAATGGGGGGAGCACATTTTCCCCCTTTTGACCCACATAGGGATCAAATTTCTAAAAATCCATTCTTAGCGAGCACCTACACCATGGTAGGAGCGCTCTCCCCGAATTTGGTGTCTCTAGGTCCAGCGGTTTGGCCTGAGCGTTGATTTTATGGTGAGGGGACTTTCTTTTATATATATAGAAGATGTGGAGTATTGATTTTCCAATCTTACTTGACTTGTCTTGACAGACTTTGGGAAAGAAAATAATTGTGCAGTTAGAATTGGTCTTTCTCTGATGAAGACGTTGGAAACGAAAGCATTATCTGGAAACTTTGTTAGAATAGATTATTTTTGGACCTTCTTCAGTTTTTGTATTTTGTAGAAGAAGAAGAGAGATTGGATTTATACCCCGCCCTTCACTACCCAAAGGTGTCTCAGAGCGGCTTACAAACTCCTTTCCCTTCCTCTCCCCAGAACAGACACCCTGTGAGGTGGGTGGGGCTGAGAGAGCTCTTGACAGAAACTGCTCTTTTTCAACAACAGCTCTTGTCAGAACTACAGCTTGCCCAAGGTCATCCAGCCACGTGCAAGTGGAGGAGTGGGGAATACAAACCCGGTTCTCCCAGATTTGAGTTCACGCACTTAACCACTACACCAAACTGGCTCTCTTGACAGACAACTGCCTGTTACTTAGGGAACTTTATTAAATTTTGTATGCTGTTAAAGTATTGACAGATATGTTTGTATAAATGCTGTGAGTATTATTATAGCATCACACACAGCCTTGTTTCCTTTCTGCTCTTCAAGTTGGCAGGTGTGGTTCTTTCATTATTTCCAATAGATTCAAGAGTGGCAGTTGTGTTGCGGTAAAAATAAGGAGGTCTTGTGGCACCTTTTACTGTATAGATGCACTGTAAAGTAAGCTTTTATGGGCTAGAATCAATTTCATCAGATGCAAGGTTTATCCTCAGTTGAGAGTAAGGCAGAAAAAAATGTGCAGTTAAAAGGCAATAAAATACAAGAGGCACATTCTATGTCATTTCTGTGCAAAGCTTAAATGTGCATAAGACAACATAGTGACCATTCCTAGGAAAAGTTACTGGTGAAAAACATAAGTCTTGCTTGGTTTGTAAATTAGTTCATCGTCATTCATGGTGCTGTGTTATCTGTGTGTGCCACAGCTTCTTCATAAATAAATGTATCCTTTCCCTCAGAAAGTTTTTAAATCTTTTAAACTATCACCTACTGATGCTATTTTATCCTTGGAACTCAAACTACTGATATGAAGTGGTGCCTTTCTGCAATTTGGTGTTTGATTTATTTATTTATTCTTTAGATTTGTATCCCACCTTCCCCGAAGGCTCAGGGCGGCTAACAAGGGCATAAATGCCAGATTAAAACAGTAAGAACAGTATAAAATACAATAATACAACATAATACAGTTATTAAAAATATCGGTGCTCCAATACTCACTCTGAATCATAAAACCAAGATGGTGTTCTGAAGATGTTATAACAGAACAACAGCAGTATATGTCCCCACCACCCTGTCATCTGCCAGGAACGTCTCGCACCCCTGATGATACTCGCACCAGCGGTGGTAGAGTGCGGTGATGGAAAAAGTGTTGGTGGAATAATGGTGGCGGCGGCTCTTACTCAAAAGCCTGGTGGAAGAGCTCCGTTTTACAGGCCCTGCGGAACTGCACAAGGTCCCGCAGGGCCCGGATCTCTTCTGGGAGCTCATTCCACCAGGTAGGAGCTGCCACTGAGAATGCCCTGGCCCTGGTCACAGCAAGTTTGATGGTCTTTTTTTAAAAATTT